GTAACGCCATGCCTCCGTTTAAGCCTATCAAATAACTACTCAGGCGTGTAAGTGCACTAATAATGGATTAGTTAGGGGGAGAAGATCAACTTCTACTCACAGTAAAAAGTACACCAAACCAGAGGATGGAAGCTCTATTCCTTAATCATCCCGTATATTTGCATAGCCCCACAATTGACTACGGCTTCCGGTCCCATGTGCTCCAGAATGCTTTATTTAAGCACTTGATTTCATCTTGTCCTCATCAAGAGCATTCCTTTTCAGTCTGGATGACTGATTCGCGAAAGTGGCATTCCTTTTCTAAAAATCTGCGATCTGATTGGTTTAGAATGGAAGCTGGTACTGACACCATAATTCATTAATATTCAACCTATTTCGTTTAAGGGATTACCACTTGAATTTATCCGCAATCATACGAGTAGGCTTGGCGTTTCCATATATAGCTTTACTTACCTAAAAGCATTCTTATCCAGGTGGGACTGCAATTTTGGCCTCGCCTAAGTCCCATCAGCACCCCAATCCTGACTCGAACCGGGGTTGTGGTAATGCAGCGTATAACAACATTAAACAATAGTCGGTTTTTAATCCCGCTGGAAGTATTGATGGTACCTAAGTGAGACCAAAACTGCAGCACATCCTGGATAATAATGCTTTTAAGGAAGCAAGACTACATACAATTTAATGGAACCATAAGGCCAACTCAAACCATTATGGAAGCTTCAACTGCCAGTCATTCATCATCTTAAATTAAAGTAGGGTGAATACAGCTTTTAAACAAGATCTATTGGTAGTCTTCAAATTTACATATAAAAGAAAATAAGTGTTTCATATGAATCAATTGAGTAGGGGTTGAATGGTTAATCAGAATTTAGTCAACATAGGCTGATTAAGGTGATTTAAGGACTGATGGTTAATATTTACCTTTTGTGATAGACAGCAATAGTTATGGAAAAACCTCAAATATCAGTCCTCAAATCACCATATGAGATCTAGGGTAACTAGATTTTT